CACACACACACACACATACGCAAACACATATACACACACACACATACGCGCACACACACAAACACGCACGCACACACACACACACAATCAATCTCCCATAATCTCTTGATGAGCACGCACGCTCACTCGATGTATATGTACAATGTATATACAAGCACACAGTTACAGATGATGGCTACTTCTTCCACACATAAAAAAACTGCAGTCATGCTAAAAAAATAGAGAACAATATCATACCCGTCTCACATCATCATCATCATCATCATCATCAACACCTGTAGAGAGTCCTTATTGTAAGGGGGGAGAAAAAATAATAAAATACAACAAGGTGCTGCATGCTGAACCAAACAAAACAACTGGGAACATTTGAGAGACAACAAACAAAAACAAAACAGGACAGAACAAAAACAAATTTTTTTTATTTTTCAAAAACTTTTGGGACAGTACTTCAGAGCACAAGCACTCACAGATTTTGCCGTTTGTTCTTCTGAGACCAGTGCCACTGATAAAACAAATAAAAACAGTGCACTCTCGTCTCATAGAGTAAAACTTGTTTGCTTGTTGCCAAAAGTATTTAACACTTTGCGGTCACTTGGCATTGCCGGTGAAAATCATCCGTTCTGGTCACCTGGCGCAGTTCTGTGCCAGGCCCAAGAAGTTCTTTGCAGTCGCTCTCTTGGCTGGGTGACCAGATGGGGTATGTGACCAGATGGGGTATTTTGTACTGCTGGCTGTGTGACTGCAGTGTTAACAAGAGCCAAGATTTTGCCTTCTGCTTCTGTAGTAACCCGAACATCTGACAGACCAAGCACATATCCAATTATCCTTCTAGTCTTTCTGCCACAAAACTCTAAATATAAGAAAATAATTTTCTGCCATTCAGCGCATCATCATAAAATAAAACACTTTATTCTTCCTCTAGTTTTGAGTCACCAGGAGTTTGAATAATGGAAAAAACAAACTTTTTTATCCAGTAGATACCATTGACTTAAATCCCTGATCTTAAACTTACTTTTACACACTGCGAAAGATAGAGACAATGCTTGGCTGGAGAAAAAAAT